AGAGAGAGAGAGAGAGAGAGAGAGAGAGAGAGAGAGAGAGGGAGCGACAGAGCGAAGGGAGGAGGAGAAATGTGGTGTGGTACAGGGGACGAGCACCAGACTGTGAGTGAAAGGGAGTTAGACAGAGGGACGCGCGCGCGTTCACACATTGTCCAAGGTGCGGAGTAAAATAGGGAGAGCGTGGAGCGAGCGAGGCTGTCTGAGAGATGGAGAGGGGAGATGCAGAAGGTCACGTGTCACACAGGTGGACCAGCACCAGGGAGCAGGTGTGTATACGAGCAGGGGTTATTTGGCAACGAACTTGTGGCTACATTTGGGTGTTGCTGTCGGTCCTGCGACTCAGAGTTATACGGTGCACACGAAAACCAGCCAGCCATGTGCGGCCGAAAATAAAACCAGCAACCTTTTGTATGTATCAGAGAGGTATTCCAGCCAACCTGTTCTACATGCTTACAAGATCGAGAGCAACGTAGCACTGCAACACCGGTAACGACTGGCTTTGGTTACAGCAGGTGCATGCTGGGCATGCTGGGACTGCTGGAGGGGCTTATGCTATGCTGTGCACGCTGTATGGCTTGGCCCCAGCTTTCACATTCAAACGCGGAAAAGTTCAGAAACCGCAGTCTGGACAACGGAGCGTAAAATCTAAACTCTGTACACACGACTACCATACTGAGTGGCAACTACACAACAAACGCACCTCCATCGGGAAGTAGTCTCGCATGCCATTTTCGGGATGTCGGGAATTTATTTTTTCCCGCTTTATCTTTAGTTTGTCTTTCGCCGCAACACCCCCTCCTCTCCTCGAGCGCGCGAGGGGCCGTCCCTGTCCTCGTGCTCGAGGGGATCTTGCTCAATCATTCATCCCTTCCAAGATGCCCCACCCCTCCAGCTCCCGTTCCAGTGCCGACGCTGTCATCACACAGTCTTGGCTGCACCGCTCTCCCCGCCCCGCGCCCCAGACACTCGATCCGCACCGGGCTGACCGGATGTGACGTGGGTGCGCGCTCCCCGGACCCCTTCCGGGCGCTGACACAGGACTCTCTCTTTCTCTCTCTCTCTCTCTTGGTGTCATGGCCGACTGACGTACGAAAGCCGGCTTGTAGTTTTGAGTGATTTTGGAGGTGAAGTGCAGTAGGGTTGACTGTGAGTGAGTTGCAGTGCAGTGATTTAAAGTGCAACGGACCAGTGAAAGTGATAGTGACTTACCTCGACGTCTCCCTGTGTTGTACTTTGACATTGAAAATAAGCCTGGTCGTTGATTTCGAGGTTAGGCACTCCACTGCCTTTTCAAAACAAGTGAGCACTGCCAACCTGTGAACTGTGAATAGCGGTGCCCGCCTCCTACAGACAGCAGTGTCGATAGGGATTTCGGTAAACTGAAGGTGGCCAGACTGATTCAATATGTCAACATCAACGAGAGCAGACAACAAAACTGTCGGAGAAATGAGCAAAAAGGACTTGCTTTCTTTAATCAATCAAGCACTGCAGCCTGTTACGAAAACCCTTGGAAATCTGAAAACGGAAGTGGAGGGGCTGAGAAAGGAATTGAAGGAGAAAGATGCACAAATTCAAGTACTGAGTGACAAGCTAGATGAGAGAGAACAATATAGCAGAAGGAATAACCTTCGCATCTTTGGTGTCAAGGAGGAAGAAGGGGAAAAGACTGACGAATTAGTCAAACAAGTCGGCGCGCAGCTTGGCTTGAATATATCGCAGTTTCAAATAGACCGTTCTCATCGAGTCGGCAGGCGTGGAACTGGGGACAAACCTCGCCCCATTCTAGTAAAGTTCTATGGTTATGGCCCCCGCCATGAGATGTTTACTTCAAAGAAAAAACTGAAAGGCACCAAATTGACAATCCGCGAAGATCTAACCTCTCAACGACTAGATGTGTTAAATAAAGCCATAGAAGCCTATACTTTCAGAAAGGTTTGGACTCATGATGGAACTATCTTGATCAATGCTGGTGATGCACGGCCTAGCCGTGTAAAATATACTGCTGACCTAGAAGATATCATCAAACGGTTCCCACCTGGAAATTAGTTACTTCTGCTGTTACATCTGATTTATATAATTGTACTATTGTTATATTTTATTATATATTCTATTCAAACTGTTTGATTGTTGTTATGCCTCCTGTGATATACTATGTCCTATGCAATTACTTAATTACTCTTTCCGCTTGTTGCTCAATCATCGCTAATGTAATATTATTCCATATATACTTGATGTGATTGGTCCTGTGCATTGTTTTGCCTCTTTATTTATTTATTTTCTATCTTTGTGTTTACAGCCCGCCTCTTTTGTAACTTGGTTGTTGCCTTGTTGTATTTGTACCACCATAACGCATTTGCAACTCATAATGTCCCCTACTCAAAACTATAGTCATCTCAACACTAAACTGCACTCCGGTAATTAGTTCAAGTCAGAACATGAGTGAAACACTGAAAGAAAAGTTGAAGAGCATAACAGATAAACACAACACCAGTCTTAAAATTGTACACATAAACGCACAATCACTTAATAACAATGAGCACTTTGATGAGTTCTGTGATAATTTTGTAAATAGCAACGTGGATGTGATTGCAGTTAGCGAAACATTCTTTAATGAGAAGAGTATGGTAAATATGCCGCATTACAAGGTATATAATGTCAATAGAATTGGAAGGTCAGGCGGAGGGGTGGCTCTATATATAAAAGAAAACTTGAAATCAAAATTAATTGCCAAGTCCATCGGGGAGAATTTTAAACCAGAATTTCTCATTGTAGAAGTAATCTGTGGCACTGAAAAAGTTCTTATATCCTGTATTTACAGGCCACCCAAGATTGGTTTTCTTGAAGAATATTTGGATGAAGCTTACAATATACTACCTCACTACAGATACTCTGTAATTTGCGGTGACATTAATGCCAGATTTGGAAGTGGCTCTCACGATACAAAATTAGTGAATGAAATGTTTGAACGATGCAATCATGTATGCATTCCATACAATGATACATACCACACTGAATTTTGCCATTCGAATCTGGACGTAATTGCAAGCAATATGGAAGACAAAATTGTGGAGTATGGGCAGTGTGGAGCTCCAGGTTTCTCACATCATGATCTAATCTATGCCGTTTTTAATTTATATGTTGCACCATTCAAAAAGAAGAAGATACAATACAGAGACTTTAACAACATAGACCAAACATTATTAATGAATGATGCCTCTAATATCCCCTGGTGTGACATTTACAATTGTGGAAACATAAATGGCAAGGTTGAACTATTTAATAATTTTATAAATGAACTTTTAAATAAGCATGCTCCCATAAAAACTTTCACAGCAAAACATGAAGCGGCACCTTGGATCAATGATGAATTAAGACTTATGATTAAGAATAGAGATAAAGCTCGGGGAAAAGCCACTAGGACTAAGCTTCCCGCTGATTTTGCAGCATTCAAGTTATTAAGAAATAAAACGAAGCAACAAATGAGAAACGCAAAACTGAGGTACTGCCATGAAATATTTGATTCGAAGAAGACTACTAACAAAATGTGGACCTGCATCAAATCGATGGGAATCGGTAAATCTAACTCGAATACCCCAAAAGATTATCCCGTTCAAGCCAATGATCTCAACAAGCATTATCTCACTGTCTCTAAAATTGATGATCCGGAATTAGCTGCCGTTGCTGAAGATGATTATAATTATAATGTCTGTGAAAAGGATAAACAATTCTATTTCCACTTTGCTCCTGCGCACGAAATAAGAAAAATAATAACAAATTTATCCTCCAATGCTGTGGGAGTGGATGGAGTATCCTTGAAATTCCTGAAATTAATTCTAGATGCTGTCTTGTTTGTTCTAGAACACATCTTTAACTTTTGCCTGCAAAATGGAGTCTTCCCTGCTCAATGGAAATTTTCGAATGTACTTCCTCTGCCAAAAACCACTAACCCAACTTCTTGTTCTGACTTCAGACCTGTCAGTATTCTATGTGTGCTGGCAAAAGTCTTAGAGAAGATAGTCCATGATCAGATGTATGCATATGCTGAGCAAAATAATTTGATAAATAATCTCCAATCTGGTTTCCGTAAAGGACACAGCACCACAACGGCTCTTTTAAAAGTGGCCGATGATATTAGGCAAGCCATCGACAAAGGAAAGCTCACCCTTCTGGTGCTGCTTGACTTTAGTAAAGCCTTTGACCGAGTGAATCACAGATTGCTGCTAATAAAATTGAGAAGCATTGGGTTCTCAGACTCAGTTATTAAATGGTTGCAGGATTATCTAACTGGCAGGATGCAAAGAGTGATGTCGGGAGATGACTTTATTTCCGAATGGGCCCTCGTCGAAACAGGTGTTCCACAAGGAAGTGTGCTGGGACCGCTCCTCTTTATACTATATTTATTTGACATATCAATGACTCTTCATCATTGCTGCTACCACCTGTATGCCGATGATACGCAGATTTATAAAGAGTTCCTTCTAGATGATGCAGAGAAAGCAGTTTCGGAGGTAAATGAAGACCTACTCAGTTTGTCTACGTTTATCGCTCGGCATAACTTATGCTTAAATGTGGGCAAAACCCAGCCAATTGTGATAGGTTCTGGCTACTTCGTCAAAAGGTTCAAAAAAAGGGTAGATGTACCTCTCATTCAGATTAATGATGTCTCCGTGCCCTTTAAAGAAGAGGTCAATAACCTAGGTGTTATATTTGACGAAACCCTCTGCTGGAGACAACATAGCGTGAAGCTCGTCAGCAAGGTGTTTGCCTCCCTCGCCCAGGCCAGACGAAACATTTCTCTTCTTCCCCCGACTATCCGTCTTCGCATCGTTCAATGCCTCATTCTACCCCTCCTGGACTATGGCTCCCAATTATTCACTGACATGAGTAAAGATTATATGGCAAAGATCCAAAAAGCTGAAAATGCTTGCATACGTTTCGTCACAACTGCCAACAGATTTGAGCATATCACACCGCATTACGTCCAACTTGGCCTCCTCAAATTTGCCGAAAGGCACAAAGTTGCTGTCGCCACATTAACACGAAAAATCATCGCCACTAATTGCCCACAATACCTTAACAATTTCAACTTCTCCACCAGACACCCAAACACACTCATCTTTCCTAGACACGATACCACCAAATACACCAACTCGTTTCCCGTCACTGCCATCAGATTATTCAACAATCACAATCTGGCTCGCTTCATAAACGATCCTTCCCACCTCAGACTCAAAACTATGTTAACGAATGTGCTTTCTGCTAATTACCTGCTTTTGTAAACTGTGTACCAAAATTATTATTTTTTATGCATTGTCCTCTGTTAAGCTTATTTTGCTTGTGCTGATATTATTTCTATGTTTTCGAGAGCGGTATTGTACGCGATCGGGACTCTTAAGTCCTTATGTACAGTACTTTAAACAATAAACAATCAAT